GGAGGTGCCCAGGAAAGGCCAAGCTATGCACCAAGGCTAGCTGTTGCTAGTGTCAGGCCTGGAGCCACTTAGCAAGGGGTACAAGGCATGCCAAGGCCAAATGCTGCTTATTTGAGAAATTTTAGGCAAATATGAAGCAGGAACTGTTTCCATACAAGACAGGCTGGAATCTTCTTGGGTGGGCCCACAAGTTGGGTGTGGCAAGATCTCAGTGAATCACCAAGTGGGGCAAACAGTATTTTCCAGGTTGATGGAGACTTAGATATGGCACCCACCTGCTGGCTTGAGGGGGGAGGGGAGTTGAAAAGGAACATGGCCTCTCCATCTTTCACTCTGATGCCAGACAATTTAGTTTCTCCTCATATGTCCCTGGTGCCCCAGTGCTGGAACTAGAGCATGTAAGTCTGTGCTTGGGCCCTTTAACAGGAAGGCCTGGGACTTCAGAGCCCTCCATCTCACTCAGCCTCAATCCCCACTGCTTTTTTTCAGCCAAAAGTTATGGGGATTTCTCTTCCTCACACTAGAACCCTGAGTTAGGGGGCCTGGGCTGGAGGACCTCTGCATCTGAGAGATCCCTCCCCATTTTTATCTGCCACATGTGGGTGGGGGACCAGACCATCTCCATCCCTCCTACCAGTCTTGATGTGGCTTCTTCTTTATATCTTTAGTTGTAGGAATTCTATTTAGCTAGGTTTCAGGCAGTTCTGAATGATGGTTGTTCTGTAGGTTAGTTGTAATTTTGATATGGTTATGGGAGGATCCAAATACCACACTTACCTACACTGTCAGCTTAATGAGACCACATCCTTATATCATGATTTTATTGTTTCTCCTCTGGTAATAATGAAAGCCACAATCCACTGGAGAAAAACAGGTTGTATGCCCAATGGTCCTATTATTAACCTGTCAGGCTTAGTTTTTGCTAGGTGATTTACTGTACGCTAACAATCAATTGAGCAACATAAAATACATACTTTTGTTATTTTTACACAGGAAAGCAAAATTTAGCTAGAAGTCAAATAGTGACCAAAAGTTTCATAAAATTAATAAAAATCTAAGGGGGTATTTGCATGCTGATACTTCTCCCATAGCATACTTACAAACTTTTCCAAACATGTTTTCAGGTAAGCCTGCATATCTATTATAGTTGGTATTTTGATTATAGCCTGTTTATTTCTTCCTCCTGTAGACACCTGCATTAATAGGTACCAACATTAACATGTTCCTGATCTTTCATAATGCCAATTTCTTGAGAAATGGTTCAATTTTCAAGAAAAAGTGATCAGTTCTGCTGATCTTCTACTCAGCCACACCCAATGACCATTCACAGTACCTGAAACTTTGTTTTCTCTCCATATGAATCCAAGACTGCTGCTCTCCAAGGCAGTAGGTCGTCAAGTACAAAGGCTAAATTAAAGTTTGTTTACATCGTTTATTTTTAAAGAAATTTAAAATACAGTGTAAACATACATCAAAGAAATTGTGGCAAATTAGATTAGAAATAACATGAGGTTATTTACATTTTGTATATGTGTGTATATATATACACAAAGTGCAGATAAATACAGAAACACTACAAAATAAACAAAAAATTCAATATGATAATTTACTGACAATCATTTTCATCATATTTATTACTTAACTTGTCATGTTAATGGATGCAAAGAAATTCCTAGTACTAAAATATAATATCTAAATATTCAACTTTTACATAAACTATAGTACCTCAAATTTTAACAGTATATAAATAGGATTCTGAATTTAAAAAACAGTCGTCTTCCCTGACAAACGCCCTATTTATCTGTAAAGGTTTCAGCGCAGAGTTCAAGAAGACTCCTGAAATCATGGCTCTCAATACGTGGTGATACCTCAGATTTTAACAGTGTGCTCTGTAAAAGACAGGTGAGTGAAGATACAGAGGCAGATATAAAACCGCTAACAATGCTGCCACATACTGAACAATGCACGTTGCAATTTTAGAGACTGAGTGGATTCAAGGCGAAGCTGGGTTGCTCTCAACCCTGGAAGGTAAAAACCATGGGGAACACTGCTGAGAGGTGGCAGATAATACACAAGGGGAGAAAATGGTCTTCTAGTTAACATGGCATTGGCACCTTCAGCCCACACGCACTTCCAACACTTAAATTCCTCATGTAGACCTATACATGCACATCTATGGTGATGGAGGATCTATGTTTGTAATCATTGTAAATGGCACCTGCCTTTGGGGATTCCTCAGTAAACACACAGACTCCATCTCTCCCTATAGTTCCAAGAAATAATCAGCTTTGAACTTGGCACCTCTCTCGTGAGTGCCAGGGGAGAAGTGGTGACCTACTACATCCCTACCTCATACAACTGCTTCTAAGCATTGGTCTAGTGAAGATCAGTTTTTTGCCTGGCTTGTTGTGAGTGCTGTCAGCATTCTTATTGAGATTCCTTATTTATAACAGTGGATGCAGCTGCACTAAACATTTTTTTAAAATCCTATTTATTGATCGGATCTTCTAAAAGTCCATGTCATTCATAAGTCTGGGTTTGTACAAGGTTACCACCAAGTGGGACCTGCACATCTGAAGCAGGAAGGAATTGGTAACAATGAAGAATACAATGAATGTGTTCAGGAGATGTGAGACTAGGTAATAAATACCTGAAATTGATAAGTCTGTGGTTTAACAGGAGACAGCCAGAATAGGATATATACTATTCAGGAAGGTTAACCTCATTTGTGAAATATGTTTTGATTTTGGAAGATAAAAGGCAAAATTAAATAGCAATTTCTACCCTAAGTGAAAAATCTCTAGTCAAGAGCAAAATAACGTTTGGACAATGGTCAAGTCTCTTTACCAGGGGATATATTTTTTAGGTCCCACTCAGTGTTTTTAGGTCAGAGTAACAGCTACAAATTAGAAATATATGTTAAAACCAAAGAACAAAATCTGCTAAATTGCTCTGCCTCTAACGTCAGCCAGTAAAGTATAAATCAAATTGGGGCTTTAGATGCTAATTCAAGGGGCTCGTTAACAAAATGAAGGTGTTTGAAGAAAGGCTCTGTGGGTCTCTTCTGCACCAGCATCCACATGGATGATATCCTCTCTCACATCAGACACAGAGCTGAAGGATGAGGCTGGGCGGGAGGTCAGCAGGGACACCTTCACAGGATTAACGCGCCAGGTTTATTTTTCTTACAACATGGTGGAAATTTAGAAAGCATGCCACAACATGTAAAACCAAATATCTAGAATAAGAATAAAAGTCAGTATGTATCTTTATTTTCCCTATTTGGGAACCTGGATCATTAGGGATTGTATGGTAAGGTACTTTTTTTCCCTCCACCATCTCTGAAAGACCCAGCAATTGAGCTATTGTTGAGAAACCTGGTTGCATTCATTCATATTACAAAGCACAGAGTGCTGACTCAATTAGCAAAACCATTCACATCAAACAAGAAGCAATGGCGCTTCCTCATCCTTCGTGGGCGCTACAGGAATACAAGCATTATTTTACTGTTCAGACATATATATTCACAGAGCAGCATAAGCCTTCAGTTGATGGACTAGTTTCTTTCAACTTGGTAGAGTTATGGCACAAAAGGAGTCACCTGTTACATACATAAATGTTTGTCCTTGGGGATATTTTCACACAACACCCAAGATGACTGACTTAGACTCATCAACCTCACCTTCATACTGAGTATGCCAGTGATGGCGAACCTTTTGAGCTCGGCGTGTCAGCATTTTGAAAAACCCTAACTTAACTCTGGTGCCGTGTCACATATAGAAATTTTTTGATCTTTGCAACCATAGTAAAACAAAGATTTATATTTTTGATATTTATTTTACATATTTAAATGCCATTTAACAAAGAAAAATCAACCAAAAAAATGAGTTCACGTGTCACCTCTGACACGCGTGTCATAGGTTCACCATCACTGGATTATACTGTAACCAGCGATTGGAATCCACATGTGTGCCTGGAGGGTGTGGATGCAGCAATTCTAACAGCTTCTCATTGTCTCTGACAAGCTAAGGTTTTATCATTGAAATGCTGTTACACTTTGGAATCTGATCTCCCAATGATTGGCATTACCTTCTTGTGTAATTAATATTGTGATGCAGAGCACATGTTTAGATTTTCCCTCTGCTCATAAACACCTTATCTGCAGGAAATTCATTTCATGAGAAAAGCAGTTGTAGTCTATCTCCGATATATAGGGTATCCCCCAAAATGTATACACACACTCTGAATAATTATAAAGACAGTGTTTACTAAAATGCATTTCATTTTCAAAATTGAGCTGTTAGCTGTTAAAGTGCGTACACATTTTTTGGGGACAGCCTGTATAGAGCCATGACGTGCTTACACGTGTACTCGGTATGAAGAAAAAAAAGAACCATCCTCAAAAATCTGTAAGATCAACACTTCAAACAAAAAACACGATTTGAAGAAGCACTTTTGTAGCTTGTTTCAAAAAAGGGACCACAGCACGTACTGCCACAGGCACGCCTCACCAGGAGAAAGCGCTCCATGCCACATCCTACCTAGACAGCAAAAGCTTAATTCCTGACTGAAATTAGCTCGCAGACAACTCAGAGGCAGGAACACTCTGGTCTGTGTGAAAATACAATGAAGGGTGAGATTTCCTTGTGCAGCAGCAAGTGAAATAGAATTCTGAATCTCTTTTTGGAGTCAGGTTGGTCTATGAAAGAAAATCAATTTGCTTTTAAGAGGTTCTAATCTGGTAGGATGCCAGACGATGGCAAGGGTGGTCACAGTGACAGCGCTGTATAGACTAAGGGACTGGCAGGTACTGCGGAAAGACAACCTTCTGTTCCAGCAGAGGGTAGTCGAGGGTGTCGGCAAAGCTATTATTAATAATAAAGGCCACCAAGGGTCTAGAGATCAAGAAGCTCTAGCAACACCCAATTATCGTGTACAAAAAATGAACAGCAGGAGGAAAGCAAAAAAAAGAAAGAAAGAGAGAGAGAGAGAAACATTTATCAGATTTTTTCATTATATTACTAATTTTTATAACATTAAATAGTTTTTCATTCCAATGCACTGATATTTATTTCTGGTTGTGACCCCACCTACTGTTATTCTCTTTATTTTTTAAATTCTACTCTATGTTTCCATTTTTAATTTTAAAAGCATAAACGCTCCAAGGCATAGTGTGTACATGCATATGTGAGTGTATATTCTATTAACTCTGGAGACATTAATTTAAAGTAGAAGAGACTGAGATTACAGATTATAATATCACATAAAAAGAGTTTTATACAGTCAATACCTGAGTGCCTGTACAGTGGAGAACTCTGAAGTAACAAGTAAAATATAGCCCAGTGGGCCTGCGCTGTGGCAGTTAAATGACAGGTAAACAGCTTTTTGAAATCTTGAGAAGAAAGGCTCTTTGCCACATGCAAATATTTATAGAAATAATATATTAGAATTACTGAAATAGAATTATTGAAATAACAGAAATGCGTGACCAGCTGTTGACGGCATATATAAATGGGTAGTAAATTTCTATGCTCTATAAATTCAGTGAAATTCCTAATAAAGACTGTAAATTGAATGGCATTTTAAAAAATCATGTACACATTTTATTCCTGCTAAAAATGATAAAACCTTTAAAAATGTTGTGGTTCAAAATAATTTAAGAGTCCTGTACCTTTATGCTTACGTTGTTTCAACTAAGCAGACTTTAGAAGGCATAGCTTCTCTACTAGTATCTTAAAAATTTCTTGATCATTTGATGAGAGAATTTCTCATCAGCCAAAATTAGGTATCAACAGAATTCTTTGACACTTTAATGTTACAAGTAGAATTTAAGTTGTACACCTACACTTTTACATTGTTTTCCTCACACGGACGGTAATTATGCTTTTGTGATGCTATTATGATGCTACTATGTGCATTTAATTTATCAGTATTTGTATGTAATGTAGTAAAATTTCATAGAAATCCCTAAGTAATAAAGGTAGTTTTACACATCCTCTAAACCAGGGCTCAGCAAACCACGATCCATGAGTCACATTGGACCTGCTGCCTGTTTTTGTATGATCCAGCAGCTGAAAATGGTCAAAGAGGACTATTTTGTGTCAAGATAATTATGTGATCTTCAAGTTTCAGGGTGGGTCCATATATAAAGTTGTGTTGGCTCACAGCTTCCCCGATCTGTTTCCTTATTGTCTATGGCTGCTTTCTGCTATGATGGCAGTTACGTATTGTGATGGAGACTATAGGGCTTGCAAAAGACACGATATTCACTATCAGGCCTTCACAGAAATAGTTCGCTGGTCCCTACTCAAAGCCTATGGAAGGCGTCTGGATGCGGGATGGAGTGTTTCCAGTGGACTCAGTGTATGACTTATTTTGGCTTCATTTACAGGCATTATATACATCATTGCTTTTGAGTATTATCATCTTCCTTGGTAAACAAAAATAAAGTTACATGAAAAAAAAAACTTATTTCCTTGAAATGCTTAGGACCAGCAAAACAATCATATATAAAAGCAGTATATTTTTTAAAGAAAAAAATCATAAAAGAACAGTTTACATTACATTTTTAAGTAACGATTTCAAGGTTTCTCAGAGAATACCAGACAGTGAAGGGCAGATCCCCAAATCCTTATATCAAATTTCTAGTTTTCAAATTTCTGGGATATAGTGCTTATACAGTATTTGAGATTCTCAATTGTTATGGAGTCATTGTGGAAACTTACTTATCAAAAAGAAAGATATTTTAAGACAAGAAACGGGTAAAAAAAAATAATAAAAAGAATGGCAAACAATTTAAACGTTTTTTTTTCCTTTTCCATTAATAGGGAGCTACATAGTCTGCTGGTGTAGGACTTGATAGAAATTGTCTGTTTTCATTTAGTGGGCTGATTGCCATATCTGTGTCAGATAAAATCATAGCACGTATTACTTGTTACCATGGATACCATGAAGATACTGCCATCCACTAAATAGTATTAGAGGAAGACAACATAATTTTCTGGGACTAGTCCTGTTTTGCCTTCATAAGTTGCCTTCAACCATCCTGGTTCCACTGATGGGTACACTAGAAAAAAAAAATAAAAAGGTAATGTGACTCACTCAGCATTAGCTTCAAATAATTATATACACAAATGGGTAAGAATCCACCCACATCAGTCTGCATGAATCCACAAAACAATGTCACAGCTTCTTTCAAGGTGGAAATGTCCTTTGCATTCTTATAATCAATCAGCCAATTTCTCCCATCCTCCCTCCACCCTAGATCCCGAGCTCCCCCCCCCCCCCCCCCCCCCCCCCCCCCCCCCACACACACACACTCACAAACACATAGGGGAGGAAGCTGGGGTCCAGAGGAATCTGATGTGTTCATTGGTGCAGGTCATGAGGGGCAGGGCCTCACTAGATTCTGAGTCTCCTGGCTTCCACTTTAGACTCTGATCTCTACACGATCCCTTAAGGGGAGGCGCTGGGTGCACTTACCATTAGAAAAGAGCGCCCCCTGTGGGAAGGAGAGCTCGTGGCTGTGCTCTGCTTGACAGGAGTACATGGCTTTGGCTTGGCTGAAAGAGTAAAAGGCGAGTTGTAAAAACCACAACTCAAAATAAATACATGTATAGTTCAAATTATCTTAAAAATGATATTAGTTTCTGGTTGTAATCGGAGAATAATATACACAAAAGGCACATGTAAGTGTGCAAAGTGCATTTTCCACAAACTGAACACAGGTATGTGATCAGAAAACATGGAAAGCAAACCAAAAGCTCATCTAATGTTTGCAGGCAATGCCTCCAAGTGTAACCACAGCCTAAGTTTGTTTTAAAGAATGCCATTATTTAATTGTTGGTAAATAGGCTGTTTTGCAGCTATACCCTAAAGCTTTTTTTCCTCCACTTTAATTTCAGATTAGCAGAGGTGAGATCCCCAAATTAAAATGTCTAATAAGTATAGTAAATGAGTTAAGTAAGCATGATGGATAAGTTGATAGTAAATGGCCAACAACAGTGGCCTCCTTGTCAGGGCGATGATGGGGACAGATAGAGGCTTTGCAAACCAGGGGGCATACCCATCTCTTAGGAAGGGAAGCCAACACTCAGCTCCCAACAGCTGGACCATATGGGAATTCAGGTTCCATACAGCCACATACTCTGGTTTCCCAAGAGAAGCCAGAACTTCAGAGTTTTCTGTGAGTTCTATTTAAAAGCACTTGAGCCAACACTAAAAAGCCATCATCATCTGAGGTCGCTAATCAAATCATCAGCCAAGTCATCTTTACTCTGCAACATCCATTTACCTTGGTAAGACGGGAACTCCTCCCGGCTCCACTTACTTCTCAGCATCTCCACCACCCATGTCCATGCCAAAATCATGTGTGGTGTGACTCACTGACTGGCTTCCCACCACCCTAAATCCTCTAGGCTTCCCGTTCTGTCGCCTTGTGATCTATTCTCTACAGGGAAGCCAGAGGGCAGCTTGGAACAGGTTCTGAGGATCATGCTATTTCCCAGAGAACAACCCTCTAACACAGCGGTTCTCAACCTGTGGGTCGCGACCCCTGTGGCGGTCGAACGACCCTTTCACAGGGGTCGCCTAAGACCATCCTGCATATCAGATATTTACATTACGATTCATAACAGTAGCAACATTACACTTATGAAGTAGCAACGAAAATAATTTTATGGTTGGGCCACAACATGAGGAACTGTATTTAAAGGGCCAGAAGGTTGAGAACCACTGCTCTAATGGGTGACCAACTCTAGCTCCATTCCACGCACAATCGGGTGCCTGTCAGTTCTCTTGCCTCTGTTCACCTGCTGGGCTCCAGTCCCCCCAGACCAGTGATGGCGAACCTTTTGAGCTCGGCATGTCAGCATTTCGAAAAACCCTAACTTAACTCTGGTGCCGTGTCACATTTAGAAATTTTTTGATATTTGCAACCATAGTAAAACAAAGACTTATATTTTTGATATGTATTTTATATATTTAAATGCCATTTAACAAAGAAAAATCAACCAAAAAAAATGAGTTCGTGTGTCACCTCTGACACGCGTGTCGTAGGTTCGCCATCACTGCCCTAGCCCTTTCACCTCCTCAAACATGCCAAACTCATCCCCGCTCAGGCCAGCTGAGCCCTGGCTCTGTGATGTTTTCCTCTTGATCCTTAGGGGCTATGCACTTCTGTTCCTCTTAAATTCCCTGAGCTTTGCTGAAGGTCATGTCTTCCCTGCGCACACTCTAAAACAGCTGCCCCGGCAATTACCAGACCCTCAGAAGACTGCACAGCAGCAGTATCTGTTAGTCTGTTATCTTCTCTTCTAATCGGAATGTAACCTCCATGAGCCATGCCTGAAGCCTGGTAGTAAAACTCATTAAATATTTCTTGAAGAAATGAGTAGGAAAAAAAAGAAGAGGGTGAGGGGGGGCGAGGAATGCTCTGGGCTCTTTTTCTACGAGACGAGTCCTTTTCAAAAGTCAAGGGGCCCTTGTCTCTCTTTCCTTTGGCTCCAGCACTTTATCAGCAGACAAGCATCAGCAGGACTTGTCACGCAGATCTCTTAAAGCACCAGTGTTACATGATTTCTTTTCCCCGTTGGAGCCTGACCCTGAGTCTAACCCAGGGGTGGGCAAACTTTTTGACTCAAGGGCCACAATGGGTTCTTAAACTGGACTGGAGGGCCGGAACAAAAGCATGGATGGAGTGTTTGTGTGAACTAATATAAATTCAAAGTAAACATCATTACATAAAAGGGTACGGTCTTTTTTTTTTTTTAGTTTTATTCATTTCAAACGGGCCGGATTCGGCCCGCGGGCCGTAGTTTGCCCACGGCTGGGACTCTAACCTCTACACTTCCAGGGGAGGGTAGGTCATTGAGACCAGGGTTCCCAAATGGATATCTGAAGACTGGAAAGCTTATGGAGGAAAACTCCGGCCCTGCCCCCAGTGTCAGCTTCATAGGAGGTGAGGCTCAGGCTGTACTTTAGAAAGTTGGCTAGGGGAGCCCGCAGCAGCCGGGCGGGGCAATGACCACCAGCCCACATCCCAATGAAACGTGGCTTCATTAAGGGAGAACTGAGGAATGCAGGCACCCAGAGAAGACAGGGCACTGCCCTAAAGAAGAGCTGTGTGTGCGTGTGCGCATGCATGCGGGTCGGCATGCACATGGGTGTGCTGGTTGACATGGGTGGGAGGTGGGGGTAGAGGATGCTGCCAAGTCCTTAAGACTTCTAAGAATCAGAAGAAGGTAATCTCAAGTAGGAAAAACTATTAGTTTTTTTCCTATTAACCTTCTAGTCAAATATAATCATTTGATCTGATATATGGTATAATTAAGGGTTGTAGAGCCATTTCTTTAAAAATATGTAAATATTTTATAAGAATTCAAGTTTCCTAACAGTAGTAATTTCCTCCAATGAACACAAAGTCTTATTGCTTTGAGTCCTTAAAATAAATTAAAAGATGCATAAGAAAACAACGTCCAGAGTTATAGAAATGATTAAGGTATGACAATACTTACAATATTATAATTTTTGAAAGAGCACTTGAAAAGGCAACTAAACTATTTTTATTAAAGCTTCAGCCATTTGATAAGATTACGTGGCGGGAGGAGGCAAGCAGAATAATTATATCACGAAATAAATGGATATTGTTAAATGTGTCAAAAATACACAGTACAAAAAATACTTGTCATGACTTCTCAATTATCTGTGCGTGTGTCTAGACAGGTGTAATTTTCTCTGCTGAGCTCCGTAACTGCAGGTGTTAACTCAGCAGAGAGCTCTGATGATTTAATGCAGACTTCTGTGGCAGTGAAGTTTCCTCTCCAAGTGCTAATGCTGCCTCTGTTACTGCCTCGGTGTACTGAAGAGGATGCGAAATAACACTGTCAGCTACCAAGTCTCTCTTCAGAAGCGTCTAACATCCTTTGCAAAGGATTCTGAAATCCCTGCTTCTTCGTGCATGGCAGCGTAAGATAATAACACCTACTGCCCTGAAAGCCATTTCTTCCCTCTTCCTGTGGAAGGTGACCTGATCACAAGTCCCAGTCCAATGCCAAATGCTGCCTAATGCTGATGGGCAGATTTACAAAGGTTTGATAGGGTCAATGCTGACTTAACTATAAGCAAAATAAAAAAGTCACCAAAAAGCAACTGATACGGTGTTTTCTGGAGCGTCACTTAACAATGATAAACACACACACACACATGCACTCCCTCACACTTTCTGGTTGCTGAGAATTTCACTGCTGAAGGAAGTGGACATGCATACAGATAATATTTTTTTAAAATCCCAAGAAGTAAGATATGTCTGAGGGGTGAAAACCAGTTTCCTCTTCCAATGGTGTCCTTGACTTTTTGCAGCTTCTACCATGTTGATGATACCTGTTCCTTCTGATCATTCCTTCACGTTGCTCTTTGCTAGACCTTTAAATGAAACCATTCCCCAAAGACCAATCAATGCTCAGGCATTTTTCCTGTACACTCAGCAAGCCCCACCTTCATCTACACAGAGAAACTGAGAAGTCTCTCAAATGGCAAACTCCACACCGTCTACCAGCTTCTCGATGTTCCTCAGGCTCCTCAAACATTATGGCCAGAACTTTCCTCTCTTCCATGTAATCACAGGCTGAGACCAGAAACTAAACTGCCATTGTTTCTGACACTCAGTCTCAAAGACTTGGAATCTTCATTCCCAGTATCAAAGCAGTTGCCAAATCCTGATCCTATCCATAAAGTTCTCCTTATTGCTTTTCATGCTTTTGTTACTGCTCTATGTAAGACCTTTAAATCTGACCAATTCCATCCTACATGGTTAACTGTACTCTCCTCTTCACAACTCCTAGAAAATCCACTTGGAATGATCTGTTGGGTGTATCACTGATTAGATCACCCCTTTGCTCAATGATTCCCAACGCGCCTGTGGGGGCTCCCAGAGATGTTACTTTTCTGTTGCTCAGGATCATGTATTAGAACAGCAGTTCTCAACCTGTGGGTCGCGACCCCTTTGGGGGTCAAATGACCCTTTCACAGGGGTCGCCTAAGACCATCGGAAAACACATATATAATTACATATTGTTTTTTTGATTAATCACTATGCTTTAATTATGTTCAATTTGTAACAATGAAATTGGGGGTCACCACAACATGAGAAACTGTATTAAAGGGTGGTAGCATTAGGAAGGTTGAGAACCACTGCACTAGAATCTCCTTATGGGTCTCTTCCACAAACATAACTAGTCTTCCTACTACTTACTACTGGTTCTAGCATTCTTCAAGGTCCAATTCTAGGGTTACCCTGAGTTCCCTAGAAGGACCAGGAAATAAGCACTGTAGGAGCTTAGTAAGGGAAATGCTTTCAACTTTCTGTTGTTCAGCTGTATTGAATGGTACCAAAAAGTACCAGGTAACTGTTAAAGAGTTAATGTTTAAGTATTATCAATATGTTAATTAGAAGCTTGAATAGCTTCAGTAGTTTCAATAAAGATTATCATAACAATAAGTTGTTATTGTAAAGATCATCTGTGGAGAACCTGCCAAATAGATTGCTTTGTATTTGAAATTTACAACAACTAGGCAAAAACAGAATTGTGACTTTCATTTTATAGAAACAATAGATTTCTTCTGTAACTCCAAGATTATACACATAGGGAGTGGTGGGACCAAGAACTGAATGTGAAGTCCACTGTGTTCCTCGGTCCCTGTCTCTTGGTGAAAAGTTACATGGTCCACAGTGCTGTTGACAAAGACCGTGATTGCTGACCGTCATCAGAAGTTGATTTATAGCAGTATTTAGAATGTAAAAGCATATTAAAAATGCACAGATTGATTGTTGAACATTTGAGGATATCTTTATGATACGACAGCATTATGATTTACTTCCATAGCTGGCTGTTTTAAAGCTCTGTGGGATCATCTCTGATTACAGGACTTGAGTTATCTGTTTAGAGCTTCCTAATAAAAGGGCTCCATCTAGTGGAGCAATTCAACCATGTAGCTGCACAGACAAGCACAAGGTTAAATCCCTCCCACTAAGGCCTAAAAATGATGACAGTTTCACAGATCAATGACATTGGCTCTGACAGGCATGTTGCCTAGTCTTCACCATGCCTTTATAAAGAAGGAAGAAGTTAAAGATGCTAAGCAGAGGTAAGATCCATGCAAATAGTCTGCAATCTGCCATATGAACACAATGCACTGACCAACATCCTTGAAAGATACCAACTCTGGGGACTTTAAAGCAATAATATGTGAGGGCCTTTCTAGGCTTTGGAAACAGTAACAACAACAACAATAAAACAGCTTCTAGAAAAAATTCTATAATTTCAAAGTCAGGTATGTATTTTTGAAAAATTTCCACTAACTGTTACCAAAGGAGTCTCTGGTGTGCAAAGGGTTAAAGCAACTTGTGTCTTCTGGAAGACCTGTTTTTTTTAGAACTCTTCCTTTATGAAGATTTTAGCAGATGAAGCATCACCTTCACAGTCTGAGACACTAAGTGCTGTTCTCAGACATGACCTCTTCCTCATGAAGAGACAGTGAATGTGAACTTGACCATCTGCAGAATTGGGGGCAGAGCTGTCAAAGATGACCCACCATGTCCACACAAGGCAACGACCTCACCACTATTTTATTTATTTATTTTACTTTGTTTTGAAGACTTACCGCCCAGAAGAAACTGGCTTAACTGAACCAACATTTTCAAACAGTTGGGCTTTCGCTGCCACACTGAAAAATAATTTGACAATGCAAGTTTCATTAAATCAACTAGAAAATCATTCAGTTCAAAATGAAATTCAGAGTTATCAGTTAATCAAAACAAAAGTGATTACTTAAGAACTGTCCCCAAAATTTGACCTGACTTTTCATTGTTTTAAGGTTTAACGTGGGAGAAAGTTTCAGCTCTGATCTCCAGCTCATGGAGTATCAAATTGTAATAAACCTACAGCTACCCTTTCTGGAGATCTTGCTATCCTCATTTTTTTCTACCTCAGAAAAGTGGGAGCAGTAAAAAGGAGCATTTTCTCCTTACTTTGCTCCAGGCAACAATAGTATAGACTGCTGTAAAGCCACAAGAGAAAAATCAAATCTATCTGACAAAAGAATTGTTCATTCTGATGGCTAAGACAAAACTACTTCGTGTATCCTTTAATATTTGAACACAGTTCCCATAATATAGGAAGAGATAACTCTGAAAATATGGCCAATAAATAAATTTGTGGAATCAAATCTTGTTTCAAATCTTGGGGGAGGAGGGGCATGGTCTGTAAAGAGGTGATAAAATTAGGTAGAGGGTGAAAAAAATGAAAACTAAGCCACCTTCAGTAATTAGAAATGTTTCCAGCTATACCAGAAGAGATATCAAATTCCTTGGTATTCTAGATTTTTAAAATCTATTTTATTTCTTTGAAAAATTCTCTCAGAACCTGACACAGAATGTACGCTCTCTCATTAATCTCATCTTTTACTGCCAGTAAAATAACAAAACAGAAGCTCTTCTCTTTCCCTCACAAAGGATGGAGTTTATGTTTTCCCATCTCCTTTGACATATTGGCTTAAAATTTAATTTCCTTAGTGGCTAGAACCACACACACTGGGGAGCAGATAGATTTACCAATATACTTATCTATATCATGACAGTTAAATTTCTGACCCAGAGAGATAATATGTGTTAAACACACTCTGAAACCAAAAGGTTTGTGTCAGAGAAAGGGAGGAACAAATGAATTTAAGACACTCTGTATGGAAACAATCTCAGTAAAATGTCTTACTGGACTTTTGAGGGAAAATTTAAATGTCAGGAATACCACGATATTGAACATGGGCATTAATAGTATGTAGAGCACAGATTCAAGCGAGGAACCCTGGGTTAGGATCCCAGCTCTACACTTACTAGCTGAGGGTATGTGGATTGGTTCCTTAAATTCTCTTTTTAAAATTTTATTAGTATTTTTAATTGAAGTAACTCGATATGCAATATTGTGAAATCCTTAAATTTTCTGAGTATCAATTCCCATCATCTCTAAAATGGTTTATACAACCCACTGGATACAGTGGATGATAACATGTGTCAGGAGGCCTAGTGATAGCCAATACAGCACTTGGAAAGGCTCAGCAAAAGCCTCTTTGGATTTTGTTTAGTTGTTTATGCAGGTTCCCATTTTCTCCTCTTTGACCCCCTTTCTGCTCACATCTATGTACCCTACCCTACCTTCTCAGTCTCTACACTTCTGGGTCGTTTCTTTTGATTAGAAGGATTGACTTCATTTGCCTATCAACGTTCCTTGTTGTCTAAGAGCTTTTTTAAATCAGTGAGTTCTCAGACAGGAGACATATGACCAGGAGGAGAGAAAGCCAACTTTCACAGCCAGAAAGCAGTTTATTTCTAACAGAAAGGTTGGGCAGGGGGAGGAGGGACTGTCATCTGGGCCTGGCACCACAGTCTCCTCAGTTGACAAGTTGATGTTCAGCTTTTATAGGAAGGTTTCTAGCTTTGGAGCCCATAGCTACTCTATTATACATCTACTAGAGGCCCGGTGCACAATATTCATGCACTGGGGGGGCTGAGGGGGAGGAAGGGTGGGTCCTTCAGCCAGGACTGTGCCCTCTCGCAGTCTGGGACCCCTCGCTCCTTACCGCCCACCTGCTCACTGCTCCTTACTGCTTGGCTCGTTGCTCTTTCCTTAGCGATGCCACGGAGGCAGCAGGAAAGGCACCTGCCACGTCCGCTGCCATGAGCCCAACTTCTGGCTGAGCGGCTCTCCCCTTGCAGGAGCGCACGGACCACCAGGGGGCAGCTCCTGAGTTGAGCGTCTACCCCCTGGTGGACAATGTGCATCATAGCGACTGGTCATTCCGCCATAATGGTCGCTTAGGCTTTTATGATATAGATTTTCATGTCCTTAAATTAAGCTATAGTCCTGCATCTAAGGAAAGTACTTGACGTGCCTGCCCATGAGTAGTTTAGATATATCCTAAGGCTACTGTAGCTTCCACATCACACTTAGAAGAGAGCAGGGTCCTACAGAAGTTGGCTACATCCACTCCCCAGATGAGACATTCAGTGGAGGAAGCGCCAAGGGCTCCGCTGGATACCTCAGCCCCATGCACCCCCTGGCAGACCCAGCAAACTCACTCTCACTTACATGGAGCCCGGTCGCTGGTAGCCGTTGCTCGAGGCCGTGTCTAGCCTTAACCTCCTGCACATTTTTGGAGGCAGGTCTGGGTTTGGTGGGGCTTTAGGCGTCTCTTTGGAACCTATGGAAGTTAAGCTTTGAGTGGAACCGCTATAGCTCTTGTTTCCTAGAAAAGAAAACCCAAAAGAAAAACAGGCAAGGTGTTATTAGAGAAAATAATAGCAATAACACAGCCCATGCGCCTAACAAAAGGAAGCATTCTTCTTTGAGCCCAAATGAGACGGTACAGAATGTTCCTCAGCACGGCTGCCCATCACCCAGGGAGATCAGAATCGACAGCAATTACAAAGACATCACCTCACGGAGATAGAGAGAGCCAGGGGAAAAGTCTCAGCGCAGAGGAGTCTGAAAAATCCCAGCTCAGGAACAAACTAGATAAGCATCATTCGTTTCTGCCCCATTAACTTCTCCCTTGATTAATCACGCGGAACAATCCGGCAAGTGGCACGGAGATAATGACATCTTGCGTAAGCTCCACTCGGGCTCACCTTCAGCGGCAGCGAGGGACCTGAGGAAGGTAGCTGAGGCTCTTTTCTGTCCTGAAGTCCCATGAGACCCTTTCTTGGCCAGGTCTCTGCGTGGGGAAACGTCCCCTGGGCTGGTGACGGAGGCCACGCTCTGGCAATCTGACTCTGCATCCGTTTTGGTTGCATCTTCTCTAGAACTGGATTCAGGACTAGTTGTCCAGAGACCAAGACTTTTCTGTCCATTGGACGGTGACGGGGATGCAATCCAGGGAATCCCTCCGGACTTCTCCCTGGGCTGGCAGGAGGTGGACTTTGTCGTGCTGTTTTGTTCAGAGGAGTGAGAGGAGAGGGACTCAATGCTCCCCATGGGTGTGCTGGCTGGGCTGCTGCTATAGGAGTCGCCTGAGCAGGAGCGGGAGAGAGAAAAGGACAGAGGCTGTCTGTTGAGAACAGCACCACCAACACCCTTCCATTCTCCAACTCACACAGGGCTTGTGGCCACCTGATCCCACCAAAGTGATGGGCCTTCACCTGGCATGGAGAACTGTCCTCAGTACTGGAGACAGCCTTTAAGAGATGCTTTTGAACTTGGTGAATGCATTTTTCAATACTATTCAGGGGGATTTTATATGTGCCCTGACCCTATGAAATGATGTTACTCCTTACGGCATGAGTGGGCTGACCTGAATTCAGACAAAATTCCAAAACAGGACTCACAAGTAAGAAAAATGATTCCATGATGATATTACAAAACAATCAATGAAAGGGATATTAAAGACATATTTCTGCCTTTTTTTTTTTTTTTACTTTTCTGATCTTAGGTGGTTCTGAACTACAATGCATCCGAGTCCTCCTCCACTCAAAGGCACCGTTAAATGTCAGCTGCAAATTACAAGCTGCTCTCAATTTAAAAGAGAGGACTTTTTCCATTTCCTGTTAAGAATATAGCAATGTAAGAAACTGGCTGTTTAATTGGGTGTATTTTTTAATGTTCCTAAAAGTAAGGTATACGAAAAAAAAAAATCAGAGAAACTGTAATAAAGTGTTCAAATATGTCTAAATTAAAAAGTAGTGGTTTCTATTAAATATTGATTGTGGAAAAATTGGGGGGTTTAGGGATAAGAAATGAAATGAAAATGGCCAGTTTAACACATCTTATGGGCTCAAGCTGCCTCCACCTCTTCCTGGGGCCTGGCTCAGAGCAGTAAGTTAGTGATAATGTGTGGTTTAGTGTCTCTTATTTCTTTTCTTTCTCTCTTTGAGATACTTTGATACCCAAGAGATGATGCTTTAAGAACATAATGTGAGAGGAAGAAAGAAAATGCTTCAGCCAGTCTTTCTCTGGCTTTCTTCTCTACACTCTGACAATAGAACAAAAGCTTCCACAAAGTAGCACCTCATGTACTTAATCACAGTTGCAGGAAAAAAGGTGGTGGTGGTGGGGGAGCATTGAGCAAACTAATTATTTCCTTTGTAGCGGTAATAAATTTGCTTGTCCAAAGTACCTTGCAACTCTACTGACAGAGAACATACAAATGTTGGAGGTGGGGGAGGTTTTGGGGTGATAGCATCAGTGAGAACCACTTCTATTTCTACCTAATTAGTGGCAGAAAGGCTGGATTAAAGAATGGAGAAAGCCTCTCCCCAAGGCCGGCCCACTTACTGTCAGGTTCTGCCAAGCACGGAGTGTACCTCCCTCTGGGCTTCCGGGAGCCTGTGGAGAGGCAGATTGCTCGTGTCCTTCGGGATCCAGACCGCGACTGAGGCTGAGGAAGAGGGATGCTTGGGTCTGGGGCGGTGTGAAAAATCTACCCGGAAGAACAATGGGCCACAGTTAACAAAAGGGTGAAATTGCCATTTTCATCATAAAAGAAGCTTTGAGACTTATATGCTACTTAATCTTAGAGTTCTATGCTACTTCATCAGTTGTATGCAAGAGATGTTTGATACCATAAAATAAAGTGAATCCCAGAATAATTATAAACTTTCTTTCCCATTTACACTGAGTAATGTTTCTTCTCTGGGTTTTCCTTTTTTATGCTTCCCCAACAGTGAGGTTCAGATTTCCCAATAATTTTAAGAAACCTTTCAAATAGGAACAAATGTCAATGTTGAGACACATGGATTCTTTTCGTGTGATAACTGTCTTTCCCCCTTCATGGGATAACTGTCTTTCCCCCTTTGGGTTGTACCATTTCCCCAGGGATTCTTTTCGTGTGATAACTGTCTTTCCCCCTTCATGCTGAACATAGCCTTTGGGTTGTACCATTTCCCCAGCAGAATGGACCCACTTCTTAGGAGAAGGGGCCGACATGCTGCTGGTTCTGATGGTCAAGAAATGTGCCAGGTCTGAGCACAGCTACAGGAGGCAGCACGTGCTCCTTGGCTGTGAGGAAGCCTCCAGCCTTAGGTAGGTACTAGGGAGGGACCCGGGGCAGGAGACAGGCACAGTCATTCTCTCACAAGGACTAGATCTGACACAAAGGCATCACAAAATGTTTAGACCTTCAACGGTCGAATTTGTTAGTAACGCAATCAATTTGGCTTCCCCAATTTCCAATTTCCATAGTTATTCGAAGATCCCATTCTTATAAAGTCACCCTCCCGGGGGACTGGATAGAGAAGACTTCAAGACTCTGTTCCAGTTTTTTTCCTTTGGTTTTATTTAGAATTATCACCTCTGCTGTATAATTAAGAGTCTAATTCCAGAGAGATTAAAAGGTTAAAACAGACTTAACTACAAAGTTATTCTAAAGTATTATCTGAATATGTGCAAAAACCTGATTATATAAGTGCTGTGGAAGAAAATCTTTAAAGGTAAATGATGGAGAAGGAAAGGAGACCATCAGGCCAGAAGGTTTTGAGGAGGATTTAAAAACTGAACAAGATAAAGGAATATCAGAGTCCTCACGAAGAACTAATTTATACAAAATTTACAAGACTGACATTATACGAATCTGACTTCACAATGTGAAGCTCACAGATGATGCAAATGGAAAATCGAGATGATACGAATGCAACATACAGAATTTGATACTTCCACCTGAACATTCAGCCTACCTTTTCATAGTGCTCTATCAGAATCTCAACCACAATATTCTGAAACTTAATATTCATCATAGCAGCCACAGTTTCTTCCTGTGCTCTCATGAGAGTTGGGCCAAATATGACACCGAGGTTTGAGACAGTCATGAGATTTTGTTGGCTATGTAGTGATACTCTGCAAACAAGAGCAACAAAAATATCTTAAGTTAAACGTTTAGTAATTATAAAATGTTCTCAACTACCAAATTCGTGACATAAATAAAAATGTAAAACATTCCATTACAGGCTAATTTTTCCAAATAATCGGGTTCAGTCACTTGCAATTGGCATTAATGAGGATAGCCAAAAATGACATAAAAAGTTAACATAGCCAAAGTAAAACATAATTACAAAAGATAATATATTGAAGAGGAAAAATTTTGATTTCGTGAGTGCAATCACCCTAAAGAGATAGATTATTGACCCTTTGGTATTTTCTACAGTGCTATACTTCCTTTAGAACAGATGGTTTAGAGTAGGCTGGTTGTAATTTTATTTGGATTCACCAAACATACTAGTATTATTGAAAATCTACTGCCATTGCATTTAATCCTCCCAGGAAGTCAGGTTTTCCTATTGTACAGGTAAAAACATAAACAAAGCTCCTAAAATAAAACTGATGTATTTGAGGTCACAGCAAATTAGGAATAGAGATGCTCTTTGAATTTAGGTCTCCTGAATACAAGTCAAAGGCTTCCTTGAGCTCCCCACATAAGACAACTGGCCAATGTGTTTCCATCCTTCCTTCTTTCCTTCCAACCATCTTTCTAAGGCAGCGGTTCTCAACCTGTGGGTCGCGACCATCGGAAAACACATATAGCATATTAGATATTTACATTACGATTCATAACAGTAGCAAAATTACAGTTATGAAGTAGCAACGAAAATAATTTTATGGTTGGGGGTCACCACAACATGAGGAACTGTATTAAAGGGTCGCGGTATTAGGAAGGTTGAGAACCACTGTAAGGCTTCCCTGAGTGTTTCTGTAGTGCTGGCGACTGTGCTGGCAAACAGTAAGAAGAGGAAACGGGAAGAGGAAATAGGAAGAGGAAATCATTGCTGGAAATGAAACAAAAAGCCTGTAATTATTGACCTGAGCAAAGTAATCTTGGTAGCTATCAAGGATGACTCTGACTAATTAACTAATTTGGAAACTGGATATATTCTTAAGAGGAAAAGAAACCTCATTCATTTGACCACTCTCCTAGGTTAACCACTACCTTTTCTCTGTTACTTCCAGCCAGGTTTTTAGAATGGAAAGTTCTAGGAAGGAGCATAACACACAAGATTATATTTATATCTGCATATGCATCACTAACTACATCCTAAAACCAAAAGTAAACTGTTATGGGGAATCCAGGATGTTGGGTTATCCACGCAATTCCTAGTACAGGACAGGACAGGACATGTCCCACTGAATGAAATGTCCCCTGTGCCCAAGAGAGAACTATCTAAGAAGACTCTTGGTTAGACTCAGAAGAGTTTCATTCCAAATTTCCTTCTTGTATAACCCAATATTACATATTGATTGTGTAATATATATTAGACAATGTTCTAAGAAAGTAGTCTGCAAAGACAGTGAGTCTATCTGGAATCAAAGCATGGATCCATCCAACTTGGAAGTGGGGTGTAGTCAGCCTAGTTATTTAATATCTTCAGGCTTCAGTTTCCTCATCTAGTAAGTATAGCAACCCTTATAAATGAAATAATCAATTAAATTAAGTGAAATAAGATCTCAAAATAATATCCTTCCTGTAATTAAATTGGCTTTAGGAACTACTGCTAAAATATAAAAGTTCTTGGTAATGTAAGTAAACTGGACAATGATTAATATTAAGCTCACTGGAAATACATTTAGACATCCTAAAAATGTGCTCTATTTTGAAAAGGAGAGTTGATGACTATGTCAGAAGAGACAGAATATTTTGAAGACCAATTTACTCTTCACTGAATTTTCCGTCTGCTGGGCTCCTGAGTTAACACAGACCCTTCTCACCCGAATTTTACCCATTTCTGCACCTTACTCCCTCAACTCCTATAGGTAACAGACATCCAATTGCACTTCAGAATATTTAAAGTTAGAATCAAAGAAGAACCACAGATGGCCTTGTTTTAAGGAAAAAAAAAAAGGATCATCAGAAAAGAAGTAATCCTATATAATAAAAGCATAATATGCAAATTATCCCCTTGACTGGGAGTTCGACCAGGGGGCGGGGCTGGCCGGCCAACCGAGGGAAGGGAGGCCTCAGCCAACAGCAGGCAGCTGGGGGAAGGGAGGTCCCAGCCGGCAGCCAGCAGCCGCTAGGGATCCTACCCGTGCACGAACTTCATGCACTGAGCATCTAGTGATTTATATAACATCTCAGAGCTAATTAATGGAGATTTGGAATGAGTCATTAAGTTGTTGTTCCTTTAGGCCAGTGACTAATCCAGGTCACAGGTCTTAAGTTCTTTTTTTTTTCTTAACCCACATAAGGTTGCTAGGGACCAAGAGTGTTGTTAGTTGTTTATAGTTTACCCATGTCATAAGGTTGCCAGGGACCAAGAGTGTTATCAGTTGTTTACAATTTACTTAAGTCATTAGAACACACATTCTACTATACAAAAAACACTAACTAGAAAAGATGCATGCACTCCCATGTTCACTGTACACTATTTACAGTAGCCAAGGCATGAAGACAACTGAAGTGTCCACTGATGAATGAACAAATAAAGAAATTATGGTATGTATCAAAAATGGAATTTTACCCAGACATAAAAAAGAATGAAATTTTGCCATTTATGAAAATATGGAGGGATCCCAAGAGCATTATGCTGAAAACGAAATAAGTTAAACAGAGAAAGACAAACACCATATGATCTCCCTCATATGTGGAATGTTAAAGAACAACAACAACAAAAAACACACAAAAAGCTCACAGATATAGAGGATGTGGGGTCAGGTGTGGAGAAAATGTGTGAACTGTTGTTTTCTAATTGAATAAAATATTTTTTAAAAATAGAGACTTTATAAAAGTAGTTTCAAAAAGTCAATAAACAAAACAAAACAAAAAAAACAGAGAAAGAAAAAAAAGAAAAGAGCCAGGAATGGTGGTAAAGGATGAACAAGGAAATTTTAAGCACTTTTCTATGGCCAGATACCCTGCCCTACTATTCCTTGTTATCAAAACAACACACATTCAAATTAAGGGTGAAGCTTGTGTTCGTCTAATACCCTGGGTAATTAAGCAACAACATTCATGTCAATTTAAAAAACACAATAAAAAAGACTTTACTAGAAAAATAGCTTGAATACAACAAGAGAATGACCAATAAATACAGTGTGGTTAAATTTCATAAAGAGGTTATACACAATTCAAAAACATAATTTAAGACTAATTCAGACCAAGGATGAGTCCTTGTTCATTAGCAATAAAGGTATTGCAATAGGCAACAGTTAACAATGAACTTGAAATTATGCCATTCCAAGTGGATTCCTACGGGGAATTTAATATTATCTCAAAGCCTGCACATTGAGAGTTATTAATATGTTATGTAGCACTATTTCAAATGTGCATGGCTAAAATTAGCATAAATTGGGTTATTACTTCTAGCAAACAAGGAAGGGATTAATTATTTGATTATGAATCATGGTATTCATTAAGATGGAAAATGTCTTTTTAACAGTCTTTGCGACAGTGTCGATGGACCTGCAGAACATTATGCTAAGTGAAATAAGCCAGTCAGAGAAAGACAAGTAGCATATTATTTCACTCATATGGAATCTAATGAACAAAATGAACTAACAAGCAAAATAGAGACAGACTCATAGGTACAGAGTAGTCAGACAGCTCTGGTGGTGGTGGCCGGGTGTTGGGTGTATATGTGAAGGGATTGAGCAAAAAAGAAAGAGAAAGAATTCATGGACACAGATAACAGTGTGGTGACTGAGGGGGACGGGGCAGGGGGGAGGTGAAAGAGGGTATATGGGGGATAAATGGTGATAGAAACAAAACAAATTAAATAAATTAAATAAAAATAAATTAGAAAAAATGAAAAATGGTAAGGGGATTCTGAAATAAGTTTAAAATGTGAATTTAGACTTTTGTTTCCAGCAGCATGGCAAATAAACTTCTGGATAAAGAGAGAAGAGAGAGAGAGAGAGAGAGAGAGAGAGAGAGAGAGAGACTCAATTTCTAGATAGATATATAATGGTTAATTTTATGGCCAAATTTGCAACACCACAGTGCCCACATATTTGGTCAAACATAATTCCAGCTATTTCTGTGAAGGTATTTATCTTCTTACATAAGATTAACGTTTAAATCAGTAGACTCTGAGTAAAGCAGATTACCCTCCATAACTTGGGTGGGCTTCATACAATCAGCTGAAGGTCTTAAGAGAAAAAGAGTAGGTCCCCTGAGAAAGAGGCATTCAGTCTCTGGGCTGCCTTAGATTCCAGCTGCAAAATCAACTCTTTCTGTGTCTCCAGCCTGCAGGCCTGCCCCGCAGGCATCAGGCTTACCAGCCTCCCAATCATGTAAGCCAATTCCTTGCAATCAATCCATCTCTCTCATATACATACACATACACACATGTATATAGGTATCTATAATAATAAAAGCGTAATATGCTAATTCGACTGGATGTCCTTCCGGACGACCTTCTGGACGAATCCGGGGCTGTGAGGGAAGCCTGGGTCCCGGGTGCCAGAGGGAAGCTGGTTCCAGCAGCCGGGGGAAGGAAGGCCTACTCTTGCACTAATTTTGTGCATCGGGCCTCTAGTATGTATATATGTGTATACATAATCACAAACATCCTATTCATTCTGTTTCTCTGGAGAAACCTGACTACTGTGATATCTATCAAGATTTTTAAATACATCAATGACTAACAGCAGAGTCAGAAAAATCTTCAGAGACCAAGAGATACTATGAGTCCAAAGAAAGGAGCTAATATTAGAGTGGAAGTTTGACCTGGTAGAACCTGTTGATCCTGATAATATGGAGAACTAGTTTTCAAACTTAGGGATTACAATGTATCTAAAAGAATTGGGGGAAAACTATATACTTCCACATATATTTTTAAGTTGACATATAAGTTTTTCATCATTAGCTTAACCGTTGCAAAGGATAGAATTATTTTTATATTGTACACATACCCAGGTGCATACACATGTACATATAGATATATCTCAAAATTAGTCATTCATTTTTAAAGCACATTCTACAGACTCTCATGACAATAGCGATGTCCCAGCACCATCACACACTTAAGATGACACGGACAAGCTTAACTTTAACAGCTGAACAAGTAAAGTGAACAACAGAAGTCAGAGAATTACTTGACCAGGTGCTTTATTAAGATGTCCAGCATCTCTCGGTTTTTCTCTGGTAATTTGTGTACCAGTGCATGTACAGCCTCCACCCGGTAGTTTTGGTCATCAGATTCTGTAACATACAAAAGGTTGCAAATCTCAAGTTTTAATTGCATTAAAATGTGTACATAAACACTAATAATCATCACAACGACACCCACCCCTTCATGTCTTAAAAGCACTGCTTCAAATAGTTATTATCACATATCTTTCCCTAAGGCTGAGAGAGGCTCAGTAACTTGTCCATGGCCATGAAGTTAGTGAGAAAAGAAGTTAGCAAACCCAGTGATGGCGAACCTTTTGAGCTCGGTGTGTCAGCATTTTGAAAAACCCTAACTTAACTCTGGTGCCGTGTCACATATAGAAATTTTTTGATATTTGCAACCATAGTAAAACAAAGACTTATATTTTTGACATTTATTTTATATATTTAAATGCCATTTAACAAAGAAAAATCAACCAAAAAAGTGAGTTCACGTGCCACCTCTGACACGTGTGTCATAGGTTCGCCATCACTGGACTAGAGGAAGCAGGCATTCCTTTCCAAATTTTACGAATTCAGAAACAACCAGGAGTTCTTTTTCTGAGGGGTCAGAATCATAGCGCAAACCGAGGCCTAGTCAATTTTAAGCCCATGCTACCAACAGTAAATCTGAAGAGTGAGAAATCATCTACAGCAAGTCTTGTCTGCCAAGCCAAAGCCAAGATGCAGACTTATCTGCTAGAGAACCTTCTAGTCCTTCAGAATAAGGGATCTATTTAACATTCTTTTACTGCAATAAACAAATCCTGGGGTGACTGCCCACCCTACCAAGCTTTCTCTGCCTAACCAATAGGGCTGATATTATGGGACCACCATTTCTTCTAGGCACACCTATCTGGAGTGAGGAAAGGCTGGCCAAACAGAGCTCTCTCTCTCCCAGGAGTTGAAATAACTGATCTGTCTGCTGGATATGTGGAAAGGCAGACCGTGTAAAACCAGGGCTGCCGGGACCTAATGTGCTCCAACCCAAGAAAGTCGGACTGAAAGAACAGAGATGAGAGACCTTCCAAATACAGCAGGGAGAGACACGTCAGTCCCCAGCTCTGCGGTTCCTGGTTGCAGACCCCTGGGAGGCCTGACCCCTCCTCGGCCAAGGAGTTCTGGGAGATACTACTTCCTCTCTAAACAGCCTCCCCTTCTTACTGAGTGGATTTCTGTGGCTTGAAACCAAAGAATATCTAATTTTATTAACTTAACATCTATAAATAGGATTACCCTTGATCCAGACAAAAGATGAATTCTTATAGATAAGAACACATATTAATGATCATGGTAGTAAATAATATAATCATTATTTGCCAGAGAATAAGTGTAGAAAAAAAGTCTCACAACCAGATGTTTGTATCAAAATCAGCAGCTCATTGAGTCATTTCAGCTAAGTGGCTCAACTGCCATTTGTTATAAAATACATTATTTTATACAAGGAAGAGTTCTAGATTAAGAGTCTAACAGACTGGCTTGTAACTCTGGTATTGCCATGAGTATACCAGTGTCCTTACACAACATCTTTTTGCCCAGTCTGGATCCTGACTTCTTAATCAATGAAATGATTAAGGTCTTGTTCATTTCACAAAGGTAGATTTTCATAAAGAGAATGTTGCGAGAAGAGCTTTCTGGAGGAAGCTCAGTAGCATAGTTGTACATATCTATTCACAGGATCATGTGGTCAGCCATGTATGCTGGATTAAAAACCCAGGCCACTCAACTTTATCTGACACTGTTATCAGCAGACAGCGTTTCCTGTGACATTACAATGTGTGGTAATAAAATAAGGCAACTGATTTCTTTCTTGGATTGTGAAAAATACATTGGTTACAGTCACACCTCAACATCTTAACAATGAAATTCCAACTGCTAATTGTTACAACGTGTTGTGATGCTGTCAGATGGCGCTTTGGCACTCTGATCCCAATGTTGTAAAAGTACATATTTCTGCCCTAACTGGTTTGGCTCAGTGGATAGAGCATCAGCCTGCGGACTGAAGAGTCCCAGGTTCAATTCCAGTCAAGGGCACATGCCTGGGCTGCTGGCTCAATCCCTAGTAAGGGCTGGCAGGAGGCAGCCAATCAATGATTCCCTCTCATTATTGATGTTTCTATCTCTCTCTCTCTCTCCCTTCCTCTCTGAAATCAATCAAAAATATTAAAAAAAGTGCATACTTCTAACTTCTCACAGATACCTTCCCCCACCTCCCTTCAGGTTTTGAATTAAACCTATCTATTCACATCACATTTTAACAGTCACCGATCTAAAGAAATGACATAGATAAGTAATCACCAATACTATAAATATAATATGGGGGAAGGAGATCGAGGGAAGTGCCTTTTGCCTGCCAAAAATATCTGATTCTTCTCTCCAGATCTGGGAACACAGTATGTGAGTATGTGTATGGTAGTGGCATAACTGACTGTACATATTTGTGGTCTTATCTATTTAACCATAAAGTTGCTCTTGTAAAAAACTGGCCTCCATCAATCCAAGTAAAATGTAATGAGAATAATTTCTCACAGCTTTTGCTGATCACACCAGAATGTCACTCCAATGAGGTCTTATTAAATGACAAAATATTTTAATTCATCCTGCAATTTCTTATTTGTTAATAAACCATATTATAAGCTATTAAGTAACACATTGACAATTTCTTAATATGTAGAGAAGTCTTAACTCGTTGGTTTAAAGTTATACCTCTAAGTAATACAGCATAAAACGACATCAATGGAAGCATACTTACTAACAGCAAGAATAAAATCTTTGTGCAACTTGTAGGTCATTAGTGGTTCTGCAAGGCACCTGCAACAGAGAACGAAGCATACTTTACAATGGCAGCATCTCTTTATTTCCCTGGACTCGCGGTGCTTCCTGGGAACTGGTGGTCAGGCTGCAGGATGAAGTCCAAGTAGGGAGGCTCCAGGCAGTGTTACCATGCAGACCTCAGAGACCCAATGCCGCTTAGCACTTCTTGCTACAATTATGATGTTAAAACGGGAGGCCCAGGGACCATTTTTCACTTTGTGAGTAAAACTCCTCTCAGATATGGGGATAATAGTTTAAGAAAAATAACTTTCAATTTCAGTTTATTTGTAAGAAATACATGTGAACCCTACATTCAAATTTACTATGAAACAGCCCTGACCAGTTTGGTTCAGTGGATAGAGCGTTGGCCTGCAGACTGAAAGGTCCCGGGTTTGATTCCGGTCAAGGGCACATGCCTGGGTTGTGGGCTCGGTCCCTAGTAGAAGCATGCAGGAGGCAGCTGATCAATGATTCTCTCTCATCATTGATGTTTCTATCTCTCCCTCTCCATTCCTCTCTGAAATCAATAAAAATATATTTTAAAAAAAATTTACCATGAAACAGAAATTACTTAGTATTCATAAGATACTTCAGCTTTTTAAGTTTATTATTTGAGAAATCAAGGATAAGTTGCAGAACACTAAACATTAAAAACATTACCACCTCACGGGGTGGAGCCCGCACACGGGGCATGGCATCCCCAGGTGACGGCCCGATCCAGGCAGAGGTCACCGCAGAGTGCCCGCCGTTAACCCTGCTCACCTGAGGTAGTTTTTCAGTCCACTTGTTATTGTCTTATTATCCCATAGTTCAATATCAATGTCCATATCAGGAGGGGATTTGGGAGCTAAAGAGAATAAAAGTAAAATATTTAACAATTAAAAATACCACTTGCACCATTAAGAAAACAGGGACAAAAAAATAAGTAGATCTAACAAAGGGGCACTAACCCTCAACTATTTCTTGTGGAATAATAGTTTCCCAAGTAAAATTGTTGCTAATGGCTAACATCACAGAGCGTCCACCATGTATTGGGCATGCCTCTAAGTACTTCATGTGAATTAAAATTTCCAGGCTTCACAATTCTTAATGAAGCAGGCACTTTTATTATCTCCAGTTTATAAATGAGGAGGATGAGGCACAGAAAGGTTAAGCAAATTCCCCACGACCACAAAGCTTTCCAGTGGCTGAGCTGGATTCCAAGCCAGGCAATCTGAATCCAGCAGCCATAAATCTCACTGCAACTCTAGCTAATCAAAGGACAGGACAGAGAAAGTCCAACATCATAAAAAGCCTCCCTCTCCAATTCTGATTGTTCGTCTATTATAACTGAACATTGAAAACTGAATACAAAATATTACTTGAAAATACTCAAGGATAAGCAATAGGCCATATCTCAAAAAAAATAAAAACAAAAAAAAAAAAACCCCACACCTATGGTTTGGATTATCTGTAAGAATACAAAAATTAATTAAGTAACCGCTTCATCCAAAACTTACAAAATGTGGTGTTCATGAGTTTCTGAACTTTGGAGTTCACTCCTCCTATTCGGTAGAGGCCTAAAATTGTGATGCCTAATGGGAAGGAAAAAATCACAAGAAAACAGCTTGAGACAGCTTCCTAAGTACAGAATGTTAAAAACTCAGACATATGCCTACACAGAATCCGAAAGCTGCTTATCCAATTTTGTGGTCTCACTTTATCAAACCTCCCCTGGAAACACCCACCAGACATATATTTCTCAGAGCAGACACTGAACAGTGATTTGAAAGTCTTTGAAGATCAATCAAAGTAGCGAAGTACACCTGCCTATTCCCCACGACTTGAATATGAATATGAAATAGCATCGCTCATCTATTTCTTCGGTCACGGAGTTCTGCATGTTGAACAGTTTTGTGGCATTTTTATCTTCACTGTAACGGTGAGGAAACAGATTCAAAGAATACAAGAAACCTACTTAACGTCTCAACACTTCTAAGTGGCAAGACCAAAATTTGAATCTAAGTTTAAAGAACTCCACAGCCCAATACGAATTTTGCTTTAGACCGGTTTTCCTGGAAGTGCAATTGCCTCACAGACCACTAGGGTGGGCTTCAGGAGAGAGGTCACAACTAGAGTGAGGAAGGTGCTGAAATCACTGAAGGAAATCATATAGGGAAGGAGGGGCTGAACACAAGCTACTTAGGAATGTTACTGACCTCCCTAAAGCAGAAAGAAAAACAAAAACGAAAGGGGTACTTAGAGTAATAAGTCCATTAATAAGAAGTAAACTGAGGCTATTTTGGAAGATGTTACTAAGTATGTTTATAGGATGATTATTGATTAACTGAAGCTCAAAGTAAAACTATTTATGTATTTATATAATCACAGAATTTTTTAAATTAACCTCATGTCACTGGCTAAATACATCTCATTTTCTGAGCATTTGTATATAAGAATGGACCACACGACAGCAGTGATACACCTGTCAGGTGGTACTGACCTCTTGTTTCCACAGCTTGAATGCATTTTCTCACAAAGTTGAACCCTGCTTCATTTAAGTACACTGAAAAAGAAAAGAAAATCATTTTAAGTGTTCATGCTGAACTTACATTTCCCCTTCATTTGCCTCTGTCGTTTTATGGTTTAATGGTGGTTTTGGATAGAGTCTGAATTTTCATATGTGGTAGAAGCTGAGGAGGGTGGTTCACACTCACCGAAGTTATTGCATGACCTCGCTTCATTAGAAACACAAATCCTTTCAGAAAGTGAATGTTACATTGAGCCCTTCCATTTTCTCTAAAATTAGCAATATCCTTCATTACAGGTTTTCACAGATGATAAAAGCAAAATGCAATAAGAATGAACTTTTATTGTGTGTTAGTAACTCTAGTACAAAGCCAGTCACATGGGATTCTCAAAACAACATTATGATGTAGAGAGAAAGCTTTAATTTTAAAATGACTCACTGGGTTGCTGGAAACTTCATTTTTTATTGTTGTTATTGTTCTAAGCTCTAGAGCCAGAATTCTAAACTCTTGATTCCAAGACCAATGATCTTTCTTATTATATTTTGTACCGTATTCAAAATAATTCAAAATAACCTTAGTCAGTCCACTAAAAATCCCCCAAAGATTATTATTACATTGTGAAATAGCTATTTATTTTCATTGCTTTATGCCAGATTTTTTTTAAAATCAGTTTTTTAAGGTTTTATGGCCTGATCAAATTAGATTACTTGTTTAAACAGAAAGGATTTAATAATACTAAGTAACACTGAGAAGAAAAACTCAAAAATTTTTTTGTACTGTAATAAAAATTTTCATCACATGTGGTAATAATACTAAGTAACACTGAGAAGAAAAACTCAAAAAATTTTTTGTACTGTAATAATTTTCATCACATGTGGAGGAGATATGGCATTTCTTACTATTCCCAAATAATAACATATGCAGACAACTCAAACTAATGAAAAATTAAAACTGGCTTCCATTTAAAGATGATAGATTAAACATATTCATGTAGCTCAACATGCTAAAAAAAAATCAAGAAGGGGTGCCACCAGCAGGTGAAAAATTTGAAGAAATCCTGCACATAGAAAACCACTGAAATGGGAATTAACTGAAAGGTTTGAGAAACCTTTGGCCCAAAAAAAACCCCAAGGTACTGACATGAAAGAATGTTTATTATATGTTACTAGGTGAAAAAAGTAATCTACAGGATGATATGAACCAATTTCTTTTTTTTTCCAGTTTTCTATTTTTTTATTTTCCATCACTTTCCCCTCTTACAACTCCCTACCCCCCTCCCTGCAATCACCATACTGTTGTCAGTGTCCATAAGTTCTTTCTCTTTTCTTTCTTGCTCAATCCCTCCACCCCTCCAACACCCTCTTCCTGACCCCACCATCCCCTCACACACACACCAGAGCAGTCTGCCTGCTCTTTATCTATGAGTCTGTCTCTACTTTGCTTGTTAGTTCAGTTTGTTACCCTTTGCGACAGCATGGATGGGCCTGGAGAACATTGTACTAAATGAATTAAGCCAGTCAGAGAAAGATAAGTACCATATGATCTGACCCAATTTCTTAAAATATAATAATATGAGGGTGTTTTTTTTCCTAGGAAAGAACTCAACTTTTTTTACATATAAACTGCAAGTAAAAAAGAAGAGGACAAAGATAGAAATGATCATTTTTATTCATTGGGCTTTGGAACTATCTAATACTTAAAAAAATAAAATTAATTCCTTAGAAATTAAAAAAATCAATAGATTAAAAAATGTAAAAATGCCAAAACTAAAATACATGCTGTCACCAATAGCAACTGGCTCATTTATGTATGTGTCCCCAGTGCCTAAGTCAAGTGAATAGAAAACAGTGAATGCTTTGGGTGAACTCAACACACAAGAATGAATGGCCATGAAATAAGCATCTATTAGAGTTGACTCCCACATGAGGGTAGCTCCTTAGGACACCACACAGTGATTGCTTGTTTCCAATAATCCAAAACGCTAAGTGAAGCATTTTATACATGATACATTCCGAAATTTTTAAAGTAGTTTTTGGACATAGGAAAACAAGTGAATGGAGAGGTGAGGAACCAATCCTATATATTAAATAGGTAATATGCAAATTGACTGTCACACCCTCACACAAGATGGCTGACCCTATGTGGTCAAAGATGGCCACCACAAGATGGCCAGCAGGGGATGGCAGTTAGGGGCAACAAGGCCAGCAGGGGAGGGAAGTTGGGGGTGGCCAGGCCTGCAGGGGAAGGCAGTTGGGGGTGACCAGGGCAGCAGGGGAGGGCAGTTGGGGGGGGCAGGACAGCAGGGGAGGGCAGTTGGGGTGACCGGGCTGGCAGGGGAGGGCAGTT